ATGTCCCTGCTCCAGACACAGAACAATTCCCTTGCTAACAAGTTAAAAGAATTAGTAACTAGGGTAGTTGAGATGGAGGATCGATCTCGTCGCAACAACTTTAGATTCAAAGGAATCTCTGGAAATATAAAACAACCCAATTAGAAGAAATACATTATTGAATTTATATCTCAATTAGAGTTGAGCGGACACCTGGATGTTCGGGTCCAGCGGGTTCGGCCGAACTTTGAAAAAAAGTCCAAGTTCGGGCTCGAACTTGACCCCGAACCCCATTGAAGTCAATGGGGACCCGAACTTTTGGCCATAAAAATGCCTCTAAAAACTCCTGGAAAGAGCTAGAGAGCTGCAAAAGCAAGTAAAATGGGGGTAAGAGTTGGACAAGTGCCCTGCAAACAAATGTGGATAGGGAAATCACTTAAAATAACATAAAAATTTAGAATACAGTTGAGCCATAAAATAGCACTAGATGGAATCTTTGATTTTAGCTTTGGAAGAACATAAATCAAAATCTAAAGCATGGCTGTCAGGAGGATCACCAGAATTATCCATTTGAGAGAAGGTTGGAGTGCAGGGTATTCTCTTTCATTGTTCAAACTGAGCTCAACTCCTGATGCATGGAGAAAAGGCCTTCAGAAGCCTCTGCTATTGTGTACATAGTTTATGCTACATGACCAATAGGTTGAGGAGGCGATGACCATGGCGGTGGAGTTGGAAGCGGTGGTGGAGGAGGAGGATGAGGTAGCCAACACTGTTTTTTTATGTTTGTTTGTTTTTTTTTAATTGTGGTAGCCCACAAAATATTGGGACATACAAAAAAAAGAAACATTTGCACTGTTTTTTATGTTTTTTTGTTTTTTTTATTGTGGTAGCCCACAAAATATTGGGACATGCAAAAAAAGAAACATTTGCAGCCTGCAGTGCATTTCTTACAGTCCTGATGCATGGAGAAATGCTCAACTCCTGATGCATGGAGAAAAGGCCTTCACAAGCCTCTGTTATTGTGTACATAGTTTATACTAAGTGACTGACCCATAGGTTGAGGAGGCGGTGACGGTGGAAGCGACGGTGGAGGAGGAGGAGGAAGCCAACACTGTTTATATATATCTATTTTTTTTTTAATTGTGGTAGCCCACAAAATATTGGGACATACAAAAAAAAGAAACATTTGCGGCCTGCGGTGCATTTCTTGCAGTCCTGATCCATGGAGAAATGCTCAACTCCTGATGCATGGAGAAAAGGCCTTCACAAGCCTCTGCTAATGTATACATAGTTTATCCTAAGTGCCCCATAGGTTGAGAAGGCCGTGACTGTGGCGGTGTAGGTGGAAGCAGTGGTGGAGGAGGAGGATGAGGTAGCCAACATTGTTTTTTATGTTTTGTTTTGTTTTTTAATTGTGGTAGCACACAAAATATTGGGACATACAAAAAAAGAAACATTTGCAACCTGCGGTGCATTTCTTACAGTCCTGATGCATGGAGAAATGCTCAACTCCTGATGCATGGAGAAAATGCCTTCACAAGCCTCTGCTAATGTGTACATAGTTTATACTAAGTGACTGACCCATAGGTTGAGGAGGCGGTGACGGTGGAAGCGGCGGTGGAGGAGGAGGAGGAAGCCAACACTGTTTATATATATATTTATTTTTTTTAATTGTGGTAGCCCAGAAAATATTGGGACATACAAAAAAAGAAACATTTGCGGCCTGCGGTGCATTTCTTGCAGTCCTGATGCATGGACAAATGCTCAACTCCTAATGCATGGAGAAAATGCCTTCACAAGCCTCTGCTAATGTGTACATAGTTTATACTAAGTGACCCATAGGTTGAGGAGGTGGTGACCGTGGCGGTGGAGGAGGAGGATGAGGTAGCCAACACTGTTTTTTTTGTATTGTGGTAGCCCACAAAATATTGGGACATGCAAAAAAAGAAACATTTGCAGCCTGCAGTGCATTTCTTGCGGTCCTGATGCATGGAGAAATGCTCAACTCCTGATGCATGGAGAAAAGGCCTTCACAAGCCTCTGCTAATGTGTACATAGTTTATACTAAGTGCCCCATAGGTTGAGAAGGCGGTGACTGTGGCGGTGTAGGTGGAAGCAGCGGTGGAGGAGGAGGAGGAAGACAACACTGTTTATATATATCTATTTTTTATTTATTTATGGTAGCCCACAAAATATTGGGACATACAAAAGAAGAAACATTTGCGGCCTGCGGTGCATTTCTTGCAGTCCTGATCCATGGAGAAATGCTCAACTCCTGATGCATGGAGAAAAGGCCTTCACAAGCCTCTGCTAATGTGTACATAGTTTATACTAAGTGCCCCATAGGTTGAGAAGGCAGTGACTGTGGCGGTGTAGGTGGAAGCAGCAGTGGAGGAGGAGGAGGAGGTAGCCAACACTGTTTTTTATGTTTTGTTTTTTAATTGTGGTAGCCCAGAAAATATTGGGACATACAAAAAAAAGAAACATTTGCGGCCTGCAGTGCATTTCTTGCAGTCCAGATGCATGGACAAATGCTCAACTCCTGATGCATGGAGAAAAGGCCTTCACAAGCCTCTGCTATTGTGTACATAGTTTATGCTAAGTGACTGACCCATAGGTTGAGGAGGCGGTGACGGTGGAAGCGGCGGTGGAGGAGTAGGAGGAAGCCAACACTGTTTATATATATATATATTATTTTTTTTTAATTGTGGTAGCCCAGAAAATATTGGGACATACAAAAAAAGAAACGTTTGCGGCCTGCGGTGCATTTCTTGCAGTCCTGATCCATGGAAAAATGCTCAACTCCTGATGCATGGAGAAAAGGCCTTCACAAGCCTCTGCTAATGTGTACATAGTTTATACTAAGTGCCCCATAGGTTGAGGAGGCGGTGACTGTGGTGGTGTAGGTGGAAGCAGCGACGGAGGAGGAGGATGAGGTAGCCAACACTGTTTTTTATGTTTTGTTTTGTTTTTTAATTGTGGTAGCACACAAAATATTGGGACATACAAAAAAAGAAACATTTGCAACCTGCGGTGCATTTCTTGCAGTCCTGATGCATGGAGAAATGTTCAACTCCTGATGCATGGAGAAAAGACCTTCACAAGCCTCTGCTAATGTGTACATAGTTTATACTAAGTGACCCATAGGTTGAGGAGGTGGTGACCGTGGCGGTGGAGGAGGAGGATGAGGTAGCCAACACTGTTTTTTTTGTATTGTGGTAGCCCACAAAATATTGGGACATACAAAAAAAGAAACATTTGCGGCCTGCGGTGCATTTCTTGCAGTCCTGATGCATGGACAAATGCTCAACTCCTAATGCATGGAGAAAATGCCTTCACAAGCCTCTGCTAATGTGTACATAGTTTATACTAAGTGACCCATAGGTTGAGGAGGTGGTGACCGTGGCGGTGGAGGAGGAGGATGAGGTAGCCAACACTGTTTTTTTTGTATTGTGGTAGCCCACAAAATATTGGGACATGCAAAAAAAGAAACATTTGCAGCCTGCAGTGCATTTCTTGCGGTCCTGATGCATGGAGAAATGCTCAACTCCTGATGCATGGAGAAAAGGCCTTCACAAGCCTCTGCTAATGTGTACATAGTTTATACTAAGTGCCCCATAGGTTGAGAAGGCGGTGACTGTGGCGGTGTAGGTGGAAGCAGCGGTGGAGGAGGAGGAGGAAGACAACACTGTTTATATATATCTATTTTTTATTTATTTATGGTAGCCCACAAAATATTGGGACATACAAAAGAAGAAACATTTGCGGCCTGCGGTGCATTTCTTGCAGTCCTGATCCATGGAGAAATGCTCAACTCCTGATGCATGGAGAAAAGGCCTTCACAAGCCTCTGCTAATGTGTACATAGTTTATACTAAGTGCCCCATAGGTTGAGAAGGCAGTGACTGTGGCGGTGTAGGTGGAAGCAGCAGTGGAGGAGGAGGAGGAGGTAGCCAACACTGTTTTTTATGTTTTGTTTTTTAATTGTGGTAGCCCAGAAAATATTGGGACATACAAAAAAAAGAAACATTTGCGGCCTGCAGTGCATTTCTTGCAGTCCAGATGCATGGACAAATGCTCAACTCCTGATGCATGGAGAAAAGGCCTTCACAAGCCTCTGCTATTGTGTACATAGTTTATGCTAAGTGACTGACCCATAGGTTGAGGAGGCGGTGACGGTGGAAGCGGCGGTGGAGGAGTAGGAGGAAGCCAACACTGTTTATATATATATATATTATTTTTTTTTAATTGTGGTAGCCCAGAAAATATTGGGACATACAAAAAAAGAAACGTTTGCGGCCTGCGGTGCATTTCTTGCAGTCCTGATCCATGGAAAAATGCTCAACTCCTGATGCATGGAGAAAAGGCCTTCACAAGCCTCTGCTAATGTGTACATAGTTTATACTAAGTGCCCCATAGGTTGAGGAGGCGGTGACTGTGGTGGTGTAGGTGGAAGCAGCGACGGAGGAGGAGGATGAGGTAGCCAACACTGTTTTTTATGTTTTGTTTTGTTTTTTAATTGTGGTAGCACACAAAATATTGGGACATACAAAAAAAGAAACATTTGCAACCTGCGGTGCATTTCTTGCAGTCCTGATGCATGGAGAAATGTTCAACTCCTGATGCATGGAGAAAAGACCTTCACAAGCCTCTGCTAATGTGTACATAGTTTATACTAAGTGACCCATAGGTTGAGGAGGCGGTGACCGTGGCAGTGGAGGAGGAGGATGAGGTAGCCAACACTGTTTTTTATGTTTTTTTTTTTTTGTTTTTTTTTATTGTGGTAGCCCACAAAATATTGGGACATACAAAAAAAGAAACATTTGCGGCCTACGGTGCATTTCTTGCAGTCCTGATGCATGGAGAAAAGGCCTTCACAAGCCTCTGCTAATGTGTACATAGTTTATACTAAGTGACCCATAGGTTGAGGAGGCGGTGACCGTGGCGGTGTAGGTGGAAGCGGCGATGGAGGAGGAGGATGAGGTAGCCAACACTGTTTTTTATATATATATATATATATATATTTATTTTTATTGGGGTAGCCCCCCAAATATTGGGACATATAAAAAAGACAACTCTGTTCCGCAGAGTAGCTGTTGACATTATAGTTGCGCAGGCACTTTGTTGACTCTAGAGAACCTCGGGCCAATCGCACATCCCCGTGACGGCGACTTTGCATTTGGATGTCATCCATATCAACTTTCGATGCCAGTTTCTGCGCCTACCATGGTGACCACGGGTAACGGGGAATCAGGGTTCCATTCCGTACAGGGACCCTGAGAAACGGCTACCACATGCAAGGAAGGCAGCAGGCGCGCAAATGACCCACTCCCGACGCGGGAAGGTAGTGACGACAAATAACAATACAGGACTCTTTAGAGGCCCTGTAATTGTAATGAGTCCACTTGAAATCCTTTAACTCTGATCAATTGGAGGGAAGTCTGGTGCAGAGCCACTGACCCGTGCGTGCTGCAGCTGAAACTCCACTATCGCCTGCTGCTGTCACACAGTCTCATGAGGCGGTGAGCGGGAAGGCCGAAGTTACGCTGCAGCGCAGACAGGTGAGCAGCAGCAGGGTGAGAACGCCGAAAGCGCGCACAGCCGCTACAGTGAATGTCACATCCTGTTCCAAGTTGCAGATCAGTCTGGTGATGGCTTCTGGTATCCAGTACTCTTTTTACTGAAGCTGCATCAGGGTCCTAGTATGTGACCCCACAAATGCTGATGCTCAACATCAGGGGGCGTGCGGTTACCCTTCACCAGACCCTGCTAATCCATTCCAGACTGTGACTCCTAACTTCAACATCAGGCATACTGGGTCCCGGTCGTCCGACTGCTGCCCAGACAGTGTCTGGGTGCTGGTCACCAGACTGCCCACCTCACTGTGAAACTACGAATGGATCGTTAAATCTGGTACGAACAAGAACTTTGCAGTTCGGGTTCGCTCAACTCTATTATGGATCCTTTGATCGCTACATGTATTACTTGGATAACTGGTAATTCTCGAGCTAATACATGTTGATGAGCGCTAGGGGACGGCCGCTCTGCTTTTGCACCCTGCTCCCTCTTATGCTGTGCTTGTGCCTCTGTGCGACCAGCGCCTCTTCCTCCAAACTGCACACGTCACTCTCATGACCTTGATTCCATGTGGGGTCTAGGACCTCATCATCCTCCACATCATCTTCCACTCCTCAACCCTGCCCTCCTTGCCGGTATGCACACTGCAGAAAGCCACAGCAATTGGCACCTGGAATTCTTTTAGAATTGCATCCAGGCAACAGTTTTCCCTATAAACTGACCTCTCAGTTTGACTTGTACCTCTTAGCTATTGATAACTGGTTTACATATAGCAGCTTGTTATCTGGTAGTTTCTAGTGTAGAAAATATCAGTCTGTTTTCTATCACTTAGATCTGTGTAACAAGTGTTGTAGGTGTGAAACAATATTACAAGTGACCGATGTAGTAAATTCGAATCAAAGTTCCATTTGCAAAAATTCTCGCCCATCTTCTGTGGGTTATTGCATTTTTAAGATGTAGACTTATTGTATCACACAAGCCATGCACGGGTAGATTGTCTGGCACGTTGTTTTGGTGTTTGGTTTTTAACTTTCTAGTTGTTTCTTTACACAATATAGAAATGTATATTAATGCTTCTGTATATGAAGCGATCACAACAACACTTATTTTTCACTTTAAAAAAAATAAAAAATCAGGCTACACAAAAATTGGTAATTCACAATATGACATCTGAAAAGCACATGAAAGGATGCTGTATGATTTTAGAAAAAAAGAACACACTACATGAAGGTCCTGTTCACTAGAGTGTGTATTCATGAATGTAACCAGTAAAACTGTTTTTACAGCCACTGGTTGGCCCATACATACTTTAAAACTTGTTTAATTTTGTTGTAGCATGACTTGTAGATATGAAGAGCAGCCCCCAAAATGTACTATTTAGCAGATTAGCACCCAGAAAATAAGTTTGTTTACCACTGCGCTGTAAGCACACTATTACACGCTTCTATTTGACTCTCAGATATGAAGTGCACACCCCAAATATACTATTTAGCACCAAAAAAATTGACTATTTAAAACTCCAATGTAAGCAGCAGATTAGCAGCAAAACAATTAGAATGTTTACAACTGCGCAGTAAGAGCACTATTTTACGCTTCTATTTGACTCTCACATATGAAGTGCACAGCAGGCCCCAAAATGTACTATTTAGCAGATTAGCACCCAGAAAATTTGAATTTTTACCACTGCGCTGTAAGCACACTATTAGAAGCTTCTATTTGACTCTCAGATATGAAGAGCAGGCCACAAAATGTACTATTTAGCAGATTAACACCCAGAAAATAAGAATGTTTACCACTGAGCTGTAAGCACACTATTAGACGCTTTGATTTGACTCTCAGATATGAAGTGCACCGCAGGCCGCAAATGTACTATTTAGCAGATTAGCAGCAAAACAATAAGAATTATTACAACTGCGCTGTAAGCACACTATTAGACACTTCTATTTGACTCTCAGATATGAGGTGCACGCCCCAAATGTGATATTTAGCAGATTAACACCCAGAAAATTAGAATTTTTACAACTGCACTGTAAGCACACTATTAGACGCTTCGATTTGACTCTCAGATATGAAGTGCACCGCAGGCCGCAAATGTACTATTTAGTAGATTAGCAGCAAAACAATTGTAATTTTTACAACTGCACTGTAAGCACACTATTAGACGCTTCTATTTGGCTCTCAGATATCAAGTGCACGCCCCAAAATGTACTATTTAGCAGATTAGCCCCAAAACAATTAGAATTTTTACAACTGCGCTGTAAGCACACTATTAGACGCTTCTATTTGACTCTCAGATATGAAGTGCATGCCCCAAAATGTACTACTTAGCAGATTAGCACCCAGAAAATTAGAAATTTTACAACTGTGCTGTAAGCACACTATTAGACGCTTCGATTTGACTCTCAGATATGAAGTGCACCCCATTAAAATAGTATTTAGCAGTTTAGCACCCAAATAATTTTAAGTTTTAAAACTGCAATGTGACAGCAGTATTTGATGCTTCTATTTGACTCTCAGATACGAAGTGCACCCCACTAATGTACTATCCCACTAATGTACTATTTAGCACCAAAATAAATTGACTTTTTAAAACTCTGATGTAACCGCAGTATTTGAAGCTTCTATTTGACTCTCAGATATGAAGTGCACCCCACCCCACTAATGTACTAGTTTGCAGAATTCTCTCCTAAGCTGTCCCTATCAGCGGCAGCATCCTCTCCCTACACTAATAAGACCTCATGTGCGTGTGTGCAGCGTTACGCGACTCCATCTTATATAGAGAGGCTGGGTCACATGCTGTACTGGCCAATCACAGCCATGCCATTAGTAGGCATGGCTGTGATGGCTTCTAAGGGCACACAAGTTAAACGCTTGTTGATTGGCTGCCCTGCAGCCTTTCAAAACGCGCCATTAAATCGCCGAACACCGAACTCCAACCCGAACATACAGTGATATGTCCGTGTTCGGGTCCGGGGTTCAAAAAACCTAATGTTCGGTACGAACCCAAACTTTACAGTCCGGGTTCGCTCAACTCTAATCTCAATATATTGAACCGCAAAATATGGTTCCATCCCCACTGGAAAGATGTCACAGAATATATAGATCAAGCAATTCTGAAGACTCTAAACCGAGAGATGTAATTGTTAGATTTATTAATGGTCATAGATCTTTTAAAAAAACAAATGCGAGCAAAATAAAATCTAAAAAATGAAAAATTAAAGGCATTATGATTTTTCCTGATCTTTCTCTGGCTTCAAGGCAAAAATGTGCACATTTTAAAGAGATCACGAAAAAACTAAGATCAAAAAATATTATCTATAGATGGGGCTTCCCGACTAAGTTGATAGTATAATTCGAAGGTCAATACATCACTTTAAATGATTTATTTAAAGACATAGCCAGACTTAAAAGACATAGATATAATGGAATAGTGGTATTTTCAAGGATTCTAAGTATATCAGGCTATATTGGCATGTTGTAAAGTACATGTTTGTTTGTTTGTTGCCCTTTTCTTTCACCTTTTTCTTTTAGTAAGCACATAGGGAGATTTAAATTAGCATGCAGACTCCATTTATGGAGTTAGATATGTGTGGGTCAATTTATAGCAAATTAAGTGGAAATGTGAATTGGGATTATTATTTAAGAATTGAAGTATTGTAATATTTAAATGAAGAATAATAGGAAACTATATACACAAACTGAGTACCATTTTTTAAACAATATAAAACTGTTAAAATAAGATCACAGAATAAAATATCAATCATAATTTAATGTGCTAGAGGAATATTATGAGATTATATATAGGGCAATTAAGGTTGCATTGTTAAGTATGTGCTTATTATAGACCACTTGGAAGTAATAGTAATTAATAAGTGAGAATATTTTTTTAAGGATTCACACATGAGTAACGTATTGAAACACATTTATTTATTTATTTATTTATTTATTTGTGGGGATTTTTCTGTATAATGTTAAAACAACGTCACATGAGTCCATCTAATCTGGAAAAGCCTTACTAATAGTAAATTGGATAATGTATCACAAGAGTATGCTTCACTCAATAAAGATGAAAGAAACAAAGTTAAGGGAATAATATAATATTACCAGAATTTAAAGTACAAATTAAGATTAAAAAAGTGTAATTAGAAATGCTAATAACAGCTGGCTTAGAACAACCAATGTATTATTTTACCTCAGAGTTGATTATATTCGTTTACTATACCTTTTTTGTGTTTTTTTAATCTTACCTATAATACAAGATTTCTTGTATTGGGTAATAATTCCATAAAGTAAGAAAATGGCAATTTGGAATATTGGTATTTGGTAAATGGTATATATGAAAGCTGAGTGTTTAGGTTGGATCAGGTTATATTTAATGTAATTTTCCAATGAAAATTATCAAGATAGAAGATAGAACTTTAGTCACCAGCATTTGTATACCCCTGAAAAAAGGAATTCGTATGAATTTCAGTGGACCGCCAGATAGGTCACTATCGAAGGCGGAGTATTGTACTTCTTTTCTGTATATGTGTTATGTGTTTTTTATTTTTTTTATTTTGTATGTGTCACTACTACAGGGTTGCTTGCCTCACTGGGGAAGCTGGTAAGGGTTGACAGAGATCACAGACTAGTAGATGCAGAGATAGTTTCTTACAAGAAATCATAAATTAATCAATGTCAATTAAAATATCATTTATAAATGCCTAGGGGTTGAATAATCCTATTAATAGAGGTATATTATACAAGAAATTAATAGATGACAATATAGGCGTATGTTTTATAAAAGAGTCTCATTGGAAAGACAATACCCAGAACCAATAGAAA